TTCCTTTTTTCTTTGGTGAGGAATGATGTCTTGGCTTGCGGCAGTTGCCCAGAATAATTTCATATATATATATATATTGTCATGACCACCGACTTGGAGGTGGTGTATGCGTAAAGTAATTTTGGGGTCTCTGACGTGAGTGTCTCTGCTGCGTTGGAGTTGGCGTGAGTGCCTCTCGGCAACCTTGAGTATGCGCCAAGGTGAATTAGATGACAAGTCCGTTTGTTGAGCTTTGGCACAAGGGTGATGCACCTGGTGCCATATCAGATGTATTCATGGCTTCGACAGATAATGGGACAAGTCCCCAGAGTTTGAAAGAAAAGAGCTGCTGAGCAGCAGCTGTGGGTCCTTGGCATATTCCTTGCTGTGTGTTGTAGTGCATGGTGGTGCATGTAAAGCCCTTCAAGGCTGGGCAATGTTGCCCAACGTCATCTACCACACATGGTCTGTACTAATATTCAATACTAATATTTTAACGAAACTTGACATGCAACATTCCAAATAAAATATATTTAAAAGAGATGTGGTATGGTTCACTTATCTCTTGGAAGTTTCGTGGGCTTTCCTTGGATTGAAATATTAGCTTGCCTCCTTGTACATGTAAGCCATGCATTTGGAATATTTGGCCATTGCCAAATTGAGACTCTTCCAACGTGATTGAAAGGTGGTTCCTTGGGCTGAAATGATGGCTTCCTCCTTTGGCCATGCAAGCCATGCAAGCCATGCAAGGCATTTAAGGCGAGGCGTCAAAGTCACCATGCAAGGCATTTAAGGCGAGGCGTCAAAGTCATCGCTTACGTCAGAGAGGCCTGCCGAAGGCATTGCATGTGTCATCTAATAACGGGGTGCTGAAGGCATCGTTTGCGTCGGGTGATGGCGGGGTGCCGAAGGCATCGCTCACACCAAATGATGGCGGGGGTGCCGAAGACATTGCTCGCGCCGGTTGATGGCGGGGGTGCTGAAGACATTGCTCGCACCGGTTGATGGCGGGGGGGCCGAAGGCATCGCTCGCGCCGGGTGATGGCGGGGTGCCGGAGGCATCACTCGTACCAAATGATGGCGGGGGTGCCGAAGGCATCACTCGTGCCAAATGATGATGAGGTGCCAAAAGGCATCACTCAAGCTGAATGACGGCAGGGTGCCAAAGACATCGCTCGCATCTAGTGGTGGCTGGGTGCCGAAGGCAGCGCAAGCACCAAATGATGATGATTGTATGGGTGCCGAAGGACACTAAAGAATGGGAGAACGACAGAAGTCTTTTGTATCGATTCCCACAGACGGCGCCAAACTGTTGATGCTCTTTTTAGGAGGTCAACTTAGAGAGTAGGTGGAATGGTGGTTGATGGGTGAAGGTGAGGACCTTCAGCATGTGTGTGAAGATTTGGGCAAGCGATGAGCAAGTGATAAATATAAAGAAGACAAGATATATGTGGTTCACCCTTAATGAATGGGCTACGTCCACAGAGAAGTATTCTCATTATAATAATGTAGGATTATATTTGTACATGGGGTTGGGCCCAAATATAAAGACAACAAGTGAGATGTCCAGCCCAGTCCTGGGATCCAGAAAAGAGAGTCCAAGGCCCAAGGGTCTAGACCTAAGATCCGGATCTCCCTCTAAGTGGAGAGAAGAAGTCCTCTTTTATAAGTGAGAGGGAGTCTTCACTTCTTGTAGTTTTCCGATGTGGGACTCTTCTTGTTTTGCTTAGAGTTGTGACTTGTGGTAATGCTTCTTTAGCTAAGGTGATGACCTCTCAAAGCATGGCATGTGGATGATCTAGCCAAGCTAGTTGCTCGGTCAGTTACGGTACCAACAATATATGTTGTATATATGTTCATATCGTATTCACATGTGGGTCATGGAAGAGTTTGGCATGGCTGAATCGTGGACTAAATTGCTAAATATATATATATGTGTGTGTGTGTGTGTGCGCCTGGAAGCAACTTCAATCATG